GCACTGAACGAGATGCCAATTCATGTAATTTTGAAACTATTGTTTTATAATATATTGTTATTTAACATTTTTTAACAAGAATGGAATAAAATTCTTTCCCTATAAAACAAAAAGTGTTTTAATTATTCTGTGAGAAATTTACACCAACTATAATATGCAGGCGTAGTATAACTAAATACATTGTGACAAAAAGACAATCATCATTTAAACGACAATGACAAGGTCGTCACATTCTAATGATCGTACATTTTGAAGCTACTGGTTGAAGTCAATTCGACAGCAGTTAACGAATTGTTAGCAGAGGAAGGGTGAATAGGAAGGGTTTGCGGTTAACACACGAGGGGTTGACAGGGGAACGTATAATACATTGTTACCCGATTCATCAGCATTACACCCCTTGCCTGAGCAGTAATTTTCTTTACGAAACCAACATTGGGGTGAATTACCTCATAATTTAAATTACTCTACTAGTGAATACTTTTGATTTATCTTAAATATCGTATCGTTTATCTATTGATTTTTTCATTCATCTATTTTTATATACTTTTATAATAAAATATAATACCTTGTAGCATAATAAAATAAAACAATATTTGAATAAAATTCTCATGTTTATAATCGTTATTAAAAATATTTTTGTTAACAAATAAGCATGCTCATTAAAATAGTATTAATAACTTCGTACTACTAATTTTTTATGACAGTAATATTGATCAATATAATTTTCACTTTCACAATATCTGTTTTAATTTTTAGTTTTTATTTTTATGTATAATTCGCCAAAATATCTTTTAAAATTCCATATTACATCAAATTTCTTATACTGTTGTACAGTATTAATGTAAAAGTTTGATCTTAAATAATAAAATTTGGAGATATTTTGATTGTTAAATAATAACATTAATATAAACTATTAAATAAAAAGCCTCAAATAAAATAAAAATAATATTTGTTTATTGTTATGATATGTATGTATGTATGTAATTAAAACTTTTAAATTTGCAATATATTCAAACTTGACTGTTTAAAAATCTCTTACAATTACAATTTAATACAATATTAGTATTAACACGATATACATTAAATAAGAACAGCAATAAAATTAATTTATGTTCCTACTTATAATACACATATCAATAAGATTTAGTGACTCTAATGCGCGCGCGCGCGCGCATGTGTATGTGTGTAAGACGCACTGATTTATAGTGCGACTTACAATTGGACTAGCTCTTCGCGAAACTTCAGTCTTCTCTAAATTGATTTTCGAACTTACTCCTTTTATGACCTAACCACTTATCTCTGACACCCACTCAAAATAAAATCGCGAAGACTCTCGATGCGCCAGCATGTCGAGGGATATTGGGAACGAGATGGTTCAATAATATATCGAGACGAATGTACACGCGACAAGAAGCCTATGAGTAGCAGGACTTCACGACTTGTCGACTAGGAGCGATTCTTCTCTTGCGTGGATATTAAACTTTGAAGATCGTCGCTCGTCGCCCCATTGCGTCGCCCGTGTCTCGCTTTGTCGCCTGACTCAGCAAGTGTCATTAATAACTTCGAGGAGGTAGATAAAGTGCTAAACACCGCAAACATGCTGTGTGCTTGGGCACACATCATTACCCTGACTAACCAGAGATTCAATAAAGATTCATTGATGTGTTGCCTGCCAATGACGAGTCGTTTTGAGTGACATATAGTGAAAGTATTGCGTAATGCTGTGCTATAAAGATGAAAGATTTTTGTTTTTAACTTTTACACAGAGCAAGAAAGATAGTCTTAAGCCCACTTTACACGATCTATAATTCGCAACAAAATTCGAGACAGAATTCCATTTTTAAATTTTTATGTATCGTGTAATACAGAAAACATTTGAACAATCAGAATTATAATTATAATGCTCCAATTTTGTAAATAGAAAAGATGCATCAAATATGTGTAGTGCATGGAAATGCGTGATTGATTAATTGTATCTGGTCTAATGAAAAACCTTAAGCATTGATTGCTGTGAGTATTTGTGTCCAATCGGCAGGGAAAACGGACCTCATCCATATGTAAATGTTATAACCTACAGTACCTACACTAACCTAATCTACAAACATATGTCAATTTAATATATGAAATTATAAAATAGAATTCTATCTTGAATTCTGTCGCGAATTATAGATCGTGTAAAGTGGGCTTTATATTATATTGCATTATGTTATATGTTGTTAAACTTATCTGTTTGAAAAATATAGATAAAAAGATTTAAATTTAATTTAAAAAATGGAAGTAAAAGACTCTTGGAAGCAACTACCTAGAAGAAAATTACATTATAAAAATTAATTTTGATTTGCGATACATATTTTAAGTAAATGCTATAAATTAAAAATAATTACAGGAAAATCGAAACGAGGCATTCTATAATAGATAAAGACGAAATAATTATTATAGTTTCTCCCACGAAAAATTGAACTGTATAAAGCCAGATGTCATATAAAGCATGTACTAATACATAATGGTAACATTTAACATACATTTTATCCTTTGCTAAGTACACTGTTATCGCTAATATCCATCAGTATAAAGGAAATATTTTGTTGTCATGAAATGTAAATGGAATATTCCAATTTGAAAGAACATAATCACAAGTGGCACGAGAATCTGTAATGTACGTATTAGTTGTGCTTTGATATTTTCATCGGTTAATAATTAATTACACAGAGATAACATCGCGAATAGAAAAGTTGAAATTATCATGCGCCAATCGACGGAAGGTCGAATGAATTTTTTATGTCGCGTCGCCTGTACTGTTGCACTATGTGCCTTTGCTATTTACTCACTCCGACAATATACAGCAGTTGACATGCTAACGTAGTCGTGAGAGGAGAGCGTTACACCGTTTCTCCACTTGCTCTCCCACGTATTATTACTTGGCACAATTAATCGTTGTGATTTGCTGTGACGTTGAAATTCGTTTTCTATAATTGAATTAAACATGAAAAGAGGAGTACAAATTCGACATCACATATCGGTTGAAAACGCGAAAGGTTGGAACATCCTGAAGAGGCAGGCTGCTGAATTTTGCCGCAACACCGGATTACATGGTTACAAATACATCGCTCAAATACAACGTTCCAAGACAGAACGGTATGTATAAACTTTCTAATATATTGTAATTTTGAATGCATTTTGATTGACAAAATACAAGAACAGATATAATAATTTCACAAGATGATTATTATTGCTAATATATTATGGCTAAAACTTGTCCTCATTCAATATTTTTTAAATTACGAACATTGCTCATTACAAAAGTTAAAATGTGTATATTTTTTAATACATTTGTTTCAATTGATTTATTTATATAGTTCTCTTTAAAATTCAATGTTTTGATATATGTATACTTAAATCTAAAAAATAATATTTTATACAGGGTGAGTCATTCCACATCCAACAAAATGTGTGAGAAGATAGAACAAATCGAGATGAACAGAAAAGTTCTGTACCATTTTGCAATTTTCGTAATAGTTAACGAGTAATTAATTATTAAAAATCGTTGTCTTAGGCCGGCCTACCGCCCAATTCGAGCGCGTGGCGAGATGTGATCGCCCGGCGATCGATATTGCCATGCGCACGGAAAGTTGTTTATCGCATTCGGCAATGGCTAGAGACCCTGTAATCAGAGACTGGCCATAAAAGAGTTTGTCAAATTCCTATTTCACTCTCCTACGATTCTACGATCGTAAAAAAGTGAGGTAGCCTATGTTTCTCTCTCACTCCCAGAAAGACGAACTCTCTTATGGCCAGTCTCTGATTACAGGGTCTCTAGCAATGGCTACGCACGAACGACACGTAACGCTGGACCCCCGTGCCGAGCTATAATAATTTCTTAGCCTTTTCTTAATCCAAATTAAATTCGGCATAAAAATATTTGTGCGTATGTATGTATGTTACATAAACATAGAAAAATATGGCGAGGGGGTGACAGCGCGCCGTTGCCCGCTAGCTTACGTCGTTGTACCGCGCCTAGACTCGCGTCGCGATAGCCGGCTACACTTTTTGCGATCAGAAAAAATAAATTAAAGCGAAATTAACCGATGGAATCTACATCTGATTTAATTATTTACTTATTTATTTTACGCGCCGCTCGTGCGTAGCCATTGTCGATTGCGATAAACAATTTTCCGTACGCATAGCAATATCGATCGCCGGGCGGTCACATCTCGCCACGCATTTGAATTGGGCGGTAGACCGGACTAAGACGACAACTTTTAAGAATTGATTATTCGTTATCTATTGCAAAAATTGCAAAATGGTACAGAATTTTTCTGTTTATCTCGATCCGTTTTACCTTCTCAAAAATTTTGTAGGATGTGGAATGACTCACTCTGTATATGTTTAATTAAAATTATACATTTTTGTGACTCAATTCTGTAATTTCAGGTAAATTTTGTTATATAAAAATTTGGATTTTAAATAGTTTCTATAGTAATATCAATAAGTAATTCGACACAATATTACAAAAATATACATGTTATTATATACATACATAATATTATACATATAGGGGAACCCGGGGCATAATGGGATATGATCTATAACTTTTTACAGAAGTGCTGTTATAAAATATTTTGCAATTATTGCTATTAGATGATCCTTATCGCATGCTGTTATCAGTTGTCATGTTATTTTTAACTGAAAAATGCTATAAATTTTTTAATGCGTTCGCTGCACTCTCCGTGACTCGCTTATAATTTCGTTGATTAGCATGAGGTAACAATGATAAAATTCTATTTTTTATTACCATAAGTAATTTTACGCTATTAAACAATCTTTTCTAGTCACTTTAGTAAAGTATTTCTGCACAGATATTGATTATTTTTGTATTTATTTAGTGTAAGGGTACATTTGGGAGCATAACGGGACATTAGGCCGTGGGGCATAATGGTACAATAGGTAACCTCTTCTTACTAGTTGACTCGCAAGTGTTAGGTTAACGGAGCATGTCTCAACAAGAGATTGAAAATTAACAGTAACATTGAAAAGAACAATGAGCAACAATGAGGATATTACACATATTTGCACCTACTGTTCTTAAAATGTTTCATGTAGATGTGATAATAAGTGCTATCAATAAATAATTATTATTATTAAAATGCAATACTACGTTAGTATATTTATTGCGTATTAAAAAAAATCATTTTTAATAAGTTTTAAACATTAATGTATAAGAAATATACATATAATGCTTGATTGGATAGTGCTTATACTTGGCGTCTTTTTTACCTTTTTTTAAAAAAGGTTACTTTTAAGGTGATATTACCAATATTATAATATTGGTACGTTACAAATATATTTTGCAAGCTTTATAATATTTCTACAAGATTACTGAAACATTGTCGGCATAATATTACAATAGAATGTCTCTGAACCGTCTTTGCAATATTACATTGCAATTTGCAATGTTGCAATGTTTCTGAAAGCTTTGGTGCTGTATGGGTACTTACACTTCCCTTTCATTACTACTTACTTCTTTTTCTGATATTGTATATAATAGTTTTAGGAGCATGAGTATTGATTCGTACTGAAAACTGGTTTTGTTAAACCTATAATAGCAAAAGGCTGCCCCCGTTTTAGTTGTGAGTGTCATTAAAGAGATTGAGATTAGAGAAATCTGTGAATTCATTTAGTTCCCTATCAAGAACGGCCGCAACACGTCAAGAAATTAACCAACATCAAGAGAAACTCATGGTACAGGTGGTCAAAATGTTCAAAGTCACTTTTTTAGTGTTACATTCTAGATTGTTTGTTCGCGGCTGATTGTGAATCAAATTTGTTATGTCAGTTTAATTTTAACAGTGAAAAGGATAAATTGGTTTATTTCTAAATGTCTATACTATATATAAAGAAGCGTTATGTCGATGATGTGGCAAGCATTTTAAATAATTCAGTATAGGAGCCATCCAATAATTCCGTGTCATTTTGAGAATTAATTCCATTGTTCTTTTATGTTTATCATTTTACGATAATGGGGTTCTTTGTCTAGAATGATCACTTTCTCCCAGTCAAACTTGTGATTGAATTCAGTACAGTGTTGCGATACAACAGAATGTTCGGATAGATCTAACTCGATATTGCTTTTATGTTCTCTTATTCTGGTGTTTAATTTTCTTTTTGTTTGTCCTATATATGTTAAGATTACATTCTTTACAAGAAATTTTATAAATAACATTTGTGTTTTGTATCTTGTTAGTTTTGTCTTTTTGTGGATCTATAAATCTCGGCAGCTTATTAAATACAACGGTATCCTATTCGAAATTTAGATTAATCGACAGGTGAACACATTTTCTTTGTGATCGGTTTTAAATAAGGTAGGATCTAAAAAGTCTAAGGTTCCCTTATTCTTGATCTCAATTGTGAACTTGAGTCTCTCATGATATCGGTTGAAAACCGTCAAGATATAATATTATTCAGTGATTCTTTTGGTGCTGCCATAATGATATCATCGACATAACGATAATATAGCGAGATTGGTTGGTCAATTTGTCGGAGAGCGAATTCCTCTAGATCTTGCATTACGATATTAGCTATAATAGGTGAGAGATGAGATCCCATCGGTACGCCAAAAGTTTGTTTATAAATAATATTATTGAATGTGAAGTAGGTGGATGTTAGTATGAATCTTATGACATGTAATATTCATTTAGAGGTATGTTCGTTTTTTTGTGTAATATAATTCCATCTATTAATAATATTATATCCGCAATAGCAAGATCTATTGGAACATTAGTGAATAGAGCTACTACGTCAGGAGATAAAAGAATATTAGTATTATTTAGTGATAATTGTGATAGTACCCCACACAGTTCGAAACTATTTTTGATATGACACTTTGGTATTGGAACACTATGAGATATAATTTCATTTAGAAACTATGCAAACCTATGTAATGGAGAATGGACCCAGGAGACAATCCTAAGGGGGAAATTTTCTTATGAATCTTAGGAAGTCCATATGCTTATGATAAGAGTGCATTACTAGACCTGAGTTTGAAGACATCATTTCTAGTAATGTAATCTTTATCAGCCCAATTTTATTAGATATTCAATTTTCTTTCTAAGATAAGTGACGGATCTTTTTTTAAAATTTCATAATTGTCTCCATCTTTCAATAGCGATTCCATATTTTGTATGTAAACATGTTTGTCTGGTGGTGAGATCATGGTCCCAACTCAATTCTTAAAAGTGATACAGTCTCGTTCTTATTTATCAAGTTGGATAAGCCTACAAAAATAAGAAAGTGCTAAGCTTAAAATATTATACTTCGAGCGTAAATTATTACATGAAATTTTCATCAATCTTTTCTCAATTTTGCTCCACATATTCTCAGAACCAGTGCTGTTACATAGCGCTTAGCAACCGTAGACTTCTTACCGAAGCTTGTAGACATATATTGGTTTGCGCACTTTCATTAAGTAATTATTGAAAAATTTACAAAACAGTAAAGAACTTTTTCATTCCGTTTAATCTGTTGTACTTGTCTATGAGAGATAGTCTGGTAATTAGCAGATATACATTATATACATATTAACATTTATTTATTATAGGATTACTTGGGCGATAACGGTATTCGTATCATTAGGTTGCGCCATTCTTTTAATGAAAATGGCTTGGAATTATTATGCTACCCATCCTACTTTGACAGTCATCGAATCAACACACAATGGAATATGGAATTATCCGTTTCCTGCAATAACAGTGTGCGATATTAATCGCATATCTTACAACTTGACTAAAAAATTTGTTGAAAATTTGTAAGTATTTAGCGTTTTGTGTATGTATATAATAGTTATTTAATAAAATCATAATTATTTCGTTTTTCTTTACACTATAATGCATAATTCTACACAAAAGCCAAATTTAGCGCAAATAAGTTGTTGACCCTTAGAGATTTAATTTTTATTTACTAATTTATTTAAATAAATTAGTAAGGCTCGTATGTGTTAAACACAAATTTCAAAGAATTTAAAGAACTCAGAGCCGTGACAGGATGGTAGTGTCTAAATATTCTATTCTAAATTTATTGCGAAAAAATATCACCTCGGCCAGGGTTTCTAATTTATTTATTTATTTTTACATTAATTTTTTAATATTTTTCCAATTTATAAATTTTTAAATCTGTTGTCTTCCACGCTGTTTGGTCTCTGTTGCTGCATCTATTCCTTTGAAGTCCATAACTGTATGAACATGAACAGCCTTCAATAGATTTCCCGGTTTCCTGTTTGGCGAAGGCGGAATCGGTGAGAGTATCCTGGGAGGCTGCAGGAAGGTCTGGATTTCTAGCGCCTTGAGGCGGTTGAACGCCTGATATTTGGTAACTAGCGCCTTGGAGCGACTGAGCGTTATCAGTTTGGCGGCCAGCGCCTTGCTCTTGGCGTCTAGCGCCAACTGCTGCTTCTCCAGAAGAGTTTTTCTTGAAAGAGAGCTTCTTCGGTTGCGTTGGTCGACGAAGAGTGAAAACCTCTGCTGTTGTGAGCAAAGGAAGACTTTTCTTCGAAGTAGTGGTTGGGATTTCTTTGACGTCTTATATCTGGAAATTTTTCCTGAATTTCTACCGATGATTGATCTCCTTATATCCTAAGCTTCAATTAATTTTAAATACGAGTTTTCCTTTTAATTAATTTCCTCCTAGCGGATAAATTAGTGAAATTTCTGTTGCTAAGCAACTTCTAAAAATTAATCAATACTTCAAGCTGTCAGTAATGTGAGAGTTCTGGTTGTGAATGACTGTCACAACTACCACATTACCCCCTTCCTTGTCTGAACGTTGGTTAATTTTTAAACCTTACAACCTGCGAGAAATCCTCCTACTTCTTGTTTTAATATCTTTTGTTTACGAAGTTTCTTTAGATTTTTCTAAAAGTGCTGGATCTTGACCTGCTTCCATAAATGTTGTTCCGTATTCACTATAATAATTTTATGTATATTTTAATTCAAATCGCCCGCTTGTGGTTATGTCCGCGCGTTCTCCTGAGCGCCCTTCCGCGCGAGTGGTTTCCGGCGACACCGCCGCTAGCATGATGGCGTTGTGCATACCTTTTCCCCCCAAAATTAACAAAAGATATCGGAAGGAGAGCTGGTCGTCAAGCTCTCAGAGACAAGTCGTCGTTACCGTCGTTACCGAACCACATCATCGTGCGCTACGCATAAGAGCTGCCTTTGTAACTGAGGGGTGACCTTCTATTGGACACGTAACGATTGGAGGTTTCCAAGCGGTGGCTCGATTGGACACGCACTATTGGACACGCATCATTGGACACCGAAATCATTGGACACCGCATTATTGGACACAAGCATTATTGGACACCGCATTATCGGACACAAGCATTATTGGACACCGTATTATTGGACACCGTATTATTGGACACCGCATTATTGGACACCGCATTTTTGTACACCGCATTATTGGACACAAGCATTGCAAGATTGGACACTGCATTTTCGGACACCGCATTATTGGACACCGCATTATTGGACACCGCATTATTGGACACCGCATTATTGGACACCGCATTATTGGACACCGCATTATTGGACACCGCATTATTGGACACCGCATTATTGGACACCGCA